AGGTAAGCGCTTTTCTCTTTGCGTTTATATTATGTGGTTGAGCTTGCTTGCTTGTGCCCGCGCGCGCATGTGTGTATACGCGAACGTACTTTTACATACATCCTGCTCCATGCTTCGGTCGACTCACGGACTCTGCATCGATAAACTCTTTATTATTACCAACCCGACTTTCTCTCGCGACTCTCTACCGATCTCCGTTTAAGAATCTTACGAGACAGACGTGGGTAGACCGCCGCGAGCTTCGCTGCTAGCCGCTAGGTGGCATCCCGCCACCCGCAAGAGAGTGGTCCCGGACAGATTTTAAATACAGACCGAATTAAAACATATTTTTACTCTCTCTTCGATTGGAAAATTTATCTGATTAATCCTTACCAGCCTCGCGACGGGCACAACTATATATATGTACACGATTTTGATTTAATTTCTGCATCGCCACGCGCGTGTCTGCCTACACCCAAGTTTAAACTAGTTTCGCTCGGTTTATAAATCGTTCGATATCGGTCCGACGAACAATGTCGATAATCGACGAGACTCCCTTCTACTTTTTTTTTTCGTTCTTGCTTCCATGCCAGACCTTTGAGTTTCGATAGCCGAATTATTCCACGCATGCGACACGAAAGCCGATCCCGGAGCGAGAGAGAGAGAAAATTTATAATGTTGTCGGGGCCGCGGGGAAGTTGACGGCTGTAAATGAAATCTAACCTTAACCGTACACGAATTCAAGCTATTTTCATTTAAATTTTCATTTGAGAATCCGAGAGATAGAGCTATAGAGATCAGAGTCAAAGACCCCTCCCTCCCTCTCTCTCTCACGGCCGGTTATAATAAATCAAGCTGTGCTCCTCGCTCCCGAGACAGTTGACGTTGATACGCGTGTGTGTGCGTATAGTATAGAGAAGGCACGCGGAGGGTGAGGTTGAAAAAAAAATAATACGTACATATATATCCCGAGCTCTAATGAAACTTTCATTTGAATTTTCCGACTGTGTGTGTGTCTGTGTGCCACGTGTACCACCGAGAGAACGACAATTCGTACACACACACTATATTACTGCATACGCGTGTACGCGAGAGACGCTTGTAGACGCGTAATTTAATTGAAATATTCGCGTGCACTTGTGTAAATTCATACGTACGCGCGAGCTTGCGTGCGGTGCGGTCGGCTGCGCAGTCTTCGTCATATAGATATATAAACAGGATGTGGAGAGAGAGGGAGTCTTGTAACGGATAACAGGCCAGAAATATATAGTTAGTACACGCCATTAACTTTATTATCCGACTTGTAGCCGTGGCTTATAAGTTTTGATGAAATTCCGACTGATCCAGTGCCGCGCGAGATAACGAGCCGCTTAGAGCCCCACGGAGACCTCCCGCTCCGCTGATATAATATCCATGTCTTTGTCGAAAAAAAAAAATGTTGCCTATAGACCTCATTGTTGTGTAATATACATCTGTATATCCCCGAAAGACAGTTTCTATCTGCTGCTTCTTCTTCTTCTTCGTCTTATTCTTCGCGCGCGAACGATTCTTAATGCAACGACGATCGACTCGTTCCCCTTTGTTTTATGCTAAATGAGAATCTCTGACTTTCTATCTCTATCTTTCCTTTCTTGCCGCTGCTGCTCTGCTGCTGCTGCTCTCCGCACCAACCAAGGCGGTATATAGTTGTGAGCAGTGCTCTGCCGTGACGAGGAGAGTTTTTGGATCGATACGCAGAGAGAGAGAGAGAGCTGCTCGTGCGAGAGGTACTGCGCGCCCGCGTACGATATAATAATATAACCTCGTATAGTGGTACATTCGTGCGCGAGCTAATGTTCTCTCTCTGCGTAACGTAATAATAATAACAATAAGGGTAAAAAATACTTTGATTTCCGCAGGACGCGTGGAATGATATTATATTTATTTTTGCCACGCAGCGCCGCACACGAAAGGGGCGGTGTGCAGAGGGAAAGAGAGAGATAGTGAAATTCCGAAGGGTGTTTCAGAGACGAGGAAATCATTGCATTGGAAAACTTTATCTATTTCGATCTGTTTGCCACACGGATAAGGTTTAGACTTGAACTTTATTCACCGGTTGCGGCGGAGAGGGTTTAATGCGATCCGATCGTTCGTGAATTTTCCCTCTCTTTACGGCATCGACTCGGAGCGATAATGGCGCGCTGCAGAGAGAAACGTTTCTCTTTTTTTTTTTTTTTTTTTTTTTTTTCAAGCGTCATTTTAGCTCCCTCGAGCTGCTCGCTTATGTATATACAGTCGTTTCCGTCGAATTCTCCCTGGCGTGACCGGAATTCATCGCGCGGGGGGTCTGCGTCCAAGACCACGTCGAGCTCGTCGAGCGCGACGAGTTAAAATCTCTATATATTGAAAAGAGGAATTTAATAAAAAGGTTTATTACATTGGTTTATGCCGCGCGTTTGAATCATTTAACCCCTCTCCCGAAAAATAATAAAAAAAAAAAAAAAGAAAAAAAAACAAATTTTGATGGTAAAACTTTTAACGAGTTTGTAATTGCAAGACAAACATCCCATCTTATCCGTGTAGGCATTTTGTAACGGTTGAATTTTAAACTCCTCGTCGCCGTGTCGACGTTCCACGGCAGTATAATACCGCGAAAGTTTCGTGTCCCTTTAAAATACCCCCTTCCGTGCCGCGCGCGTAATTATCCTCATCTGTTCCGAATGATTTAATGCGCGCCACGCACAAACACATTGAAAAGTTTTTAGCTACTAGCTCGCTTGCGCGTCAACTTTAGAGCCCTCCCCAAGATGTTCGCCCTAATACATATAAAACTCGAGAATCCCGAAAAGAAAATTACTCGGTCGCGGACGAGGAAAAGAAAGGCTAACGCCACACGCCAACAAGAGCTGAGCTATGCTGCTGTAGCAGGGACAAAAACTTTTTTACACCACAGCAGCAGCAGCAGCAGCACAGAGGATATAGAAAGTTGAGAGATCTCGCGCCCTGCGTGCAGCGTGGCTGGACCGATGCGAGGGAGAGAGAAAAGATCAGCAAAGAGTCCTCAATCGATATAACAAGTTTAAAGCCTCTATAGAAAATCCTAAACTATGGACAAATGGCTTTGGGTGAATTTTTCGTCGCTTTACCAGTGGGTGTTTTTTTTTTATTTTTTTTTCAACGGTTTTTCACGTACCTCTCTCTCTAACTGTCTATTTGACGTAGCTAACAGTCGACACGCGCGCGTATTATATAGCTTAGTTTTATTGCGCATATACAACGCGCCACGTGCAGCAGCAACACTCGAGAGTCGAGCCATTCACGCTTCGTTGGTGGAATTGTTGACTCGTTGCGTCGTCGTCGTCGTGAAAATTCGCAAAACACCAGCACAGCACGCCGCTATATAGGAGTCGTCGATGATTTTGTTACACACTGCACACAGTGTCGGTCGAATAACGTCGGGTCCGATTCCCGTCGATATGATGGCTTTCACGAGCCAAAGAACACGGCGCTAGCTGGCTGATATTTCGTTATGTACCTTGAAAGTTGTCCAATGTCGTTACGAGGATGGCCAATATTTTCGTTACGATGGTACAGCGGCGTTGCTTCTAACCAAGCTAGCTCTGTGTATATGTGTGCGTTGACGAGAAAACTTTGCTATTGTAACGACTTAATTTTACAAAATAACTCGCCGGAATTTCTTCGGTATATAGGCAACGCTGCTCCGACCACCGCATCGCGCGGCCAAAGAGCTAAGTGAATTTCACTTTTGAAATATTATATTCTTGGGCTTAATTAAAAAAAAAAAGAAGGAAAACAGATTCGAGCACGCTAGTCGCGTATCGTATGCGATCGCGCTCGAGCCCTTTTATTAAATTGATAGTACTCTGCAGCAACTTCTTTTTTTTCTTTAATTAATACAATTTATCGATGTCAAGGGTAATACGCGCGCGCGAGTACCGACGAGCTGCACACACATATAAAAGCGCGTCGTTGTTGCTTTATTTGTTTGTCTTTTTTTTTTGATAATAATCAAAAACGACTTTACTCTGAAAACTCAATGAATGTAATTTCTCAACTCAAAAAAAGAAAGTAACTTTGGTAACATGTTCAACATCCGAAATACACTCTTGCTTCGGGCTGCAAATTATATTCAAATATTCCACAGTACTGGCCCCTGCCAATAATATGGTAATTATTAAGGTAACTGAATATTTCATAAGATGCGTATCCACGATAAAGAGTAAAAAATGGCAACACAACCCTCTCTCGTACGGAGAGTAGGTATGCGCGCTCTCTGTGCAATATATTCAACAGGTTCAAATTTCAAATTGCCCCCGAATCTTCCTGCAACATAATATTATATAATATAAAATCGATCCTCTCTCTCTCTCGCGATTAATATTTATTCGCGTTATATAGCGCGTACGAATAAAAAATTCAAGTCATCGCTTCTCTGTGTGTGCAGTTTGTGTATGTTGCATCCACACACGAACGTACGCTCTCTCTGAGCTTTTGTACACATACATACGTGCTGATAAAAATGTGTACGTGCTGCGGGTTGCAGAAGAAGACAGACAGCGCGAGAGAGAGAGAGAGAAAAAAAAAATTCGTCACACACTTCATACGTGCGGGGAAACAAAGCCCGCTATACATAATATATATATATCCCTCCGTAACGTTTCTAAAATTAGGCTCGCCGCACATACCCGTACCATCCTTCTTTTTTTCTTCTTTTTTTCTATTTTTTTATTATTTCAATACGCCCGTAGAGAAAGAGGGATATGCATACAAAGTGTCGGGGTACTGCGGAGAAATTGTTTATCCCACACACACACACACAGACAACTCGGCGCGCGGGAGAAAGAGAAAAACTTTTCTGCAGCTCGCAACTCCTCCGGTTTTGCACGCTACACGTATGCTTGGATGAAAAATAAAATATTTATGGCAAATATATGCTGCTTATTGCGCAACGACGTCGACGATGGAATACATTACGATAATAATAACAATAAATAATGCACCGTAGGATCGAATGAACCAACCTCATTCCCAGTCGAACCCATTTACCGTGGCGACTCAAACAAAGTCCACATTTAGGCACTCGGCCGATAAGAAGCTGCTGCACTCACGCACACACACTTTCGTCGACACTGTGACGATTCGTTCTCATCTCGGCACTCCTCACTCCGCTGTCCTTATCGCTCACTCTCATCGACGCTCGACGAGCAATCTTGCCTTCTCTTCCTTCGCCATCTTCTCTTCTTGCTCGTGGCTACTGTATTGCTTTTTTCAAAAAAGTGAGCCGATTTGAAAGACCAACGGTAAATAACCAGTCGGGCTGGACGCAGGAGCCAAGCAGGGGAATGAGGAAAACAGGTGAAAAAAGTCGCGACGACGTCGGATCAGAGATACCGGTGCAGCAATCGTATCTACATACGCGTATATTATTATATATTATATACGATGATGACGATACGAAGGTCTGACCCGAGCGGAGTCGCACTACTGACTGTGGCGTTTTGCCTTGCCTCTCGCCAGCGACAGGGAGCTGTGCTCGTCGGTGGCGGCGGCGGCTGCACCAGCAGCACCAGCGGCAGCCACATAGCAGTAGTAGTAGTAGTAGTAGTAGTAGTACGGCGCACGAGAGGGGCACGCGCCTTATATACCGAACGGCGTTATTATAACTGTATATAGGCACATAGGAATACGCCGGGGCTCGGGAGCTTTTCACGCTATATATACGATGCAACGGTGCACATTATATAGATATTATATACGCGCCGCACACGCACAAGAACTGAAAGCGTATCGTCTTTTCTTTCGGTTATATTATTATTTTATCGTTCGTGTGTATTGATATGACTCATTGTATTATGCCGATAAATACATACAAACACGGGTAACGGTTGATTAATTGCGTGTACACACGATGCGACGTATCGGCGTTCTTACATGCATATAATACAAATAGACGCGGCACACACAATGGAACAACGAAGCCCTCAGTTGTACAGGCACTGCATGATATGCGTCGAGCTATATATAGGTATATATGATAATGTACACACGCGCAAGTGTACCTACAGCTACAAGTGGTGCAGCTACACACGTCGTCTCTACGACACAGTTCGCTGAGCCCTGCACCAGCAGCAGCAGCAGCAGCAGGTGTATATGTGCAATGTGCATATATAACGCTTATAGTGCTCTACGCTCGCCATCTTGGATACTTGGCGGAAAAAAATTGCTATCTGAAATGTATGTACATGATCGAGCTTTAGTTTTAGTAATTCGATTATTTACATAAATTCAATTCCGTCGCCCAGAGGCTACTACACTATAAACTTCATTTCGTTTGTTTCATTTTCTTTTTTTTTTTATTTTGTTGCTCTTTTCATAAAATGTGCTGCACAGTGTGCGGCTATCTCGCTGCATTTTGCCTTTGTAGCTCACTTCACTATACATGTGTACTCGATATTAATTCACATATGTGCGCACGTAAATGGTATTATAACGATAATTTGATCGAACACATTTACGTGTCGAATTAATTTGACATTTCAACCCGTACCCGTGCTCCAATTATAACGACTGATGTATTGTATATGCGGATATTTATCCATGAGGTTAAAAAAGCGGGAATATATTAATGACGTATTACTGATATCAATCGAGGGAGGGGGGGCAAAATTGTCAGTGTGCCGCCCTTATGTATGTTTATTCATACGTATATGGAATAAATGCAAAGTACGGATGCGCCGTATACATCGTATACAATATGTATCGTATGTATATAACGGGAGAATTCGCTGTATCGAATGACTGCAGCCGCTGCCCGCGTGGAAAAGCTGGAAACGTTAAACCCAACGAGCAATTTCCATGAATATCGTGTTACAAACCAGCCAGTATATCAATAAAATTGGAAATATAATCATTTTTTATCAAGTCTAATACCCGGGAGAGGGTGACTGCGAAAAATAACCTCTCCCTCTCTCGCAAGCCCCTTAGCCTGCGCAAGACAGGACGAAATAAATAAAAATGCGCGAGGCTCTAAATCTAAATCTATGGATACCAATTTCGAGCCATTAAACTTGCTCCGGTACACCCCCAGCCTTTTCGTCTTGATGATAAAAAAAAAAACAGGGATACATACGCTGGCCACTGCGCGCGAGATGCGCGTGTTATGATACTTTGTAAACGGCGGCGCTACGTTATTATTTATTGCGCTGTATAGCCGACGACACGGAGCACCGGAGGGAGAAGAGGAGCAGCTTCAATTTTACGCCGCGGCTTTTGTTCTTTTGATGTACAAACGTGTGTCCTCGTCGTCGTTGTGCTCGCTCGCGCGAGTAATTTATACATACAGCGCCAGGCGTCAGTTGTGGTAGCGAAACATAAATTTTCCTCGGGAGTAGAGAGGTAAAAATAAAAAATGAGGATGATGTAAATTCCATATACGGATCGTCGTAATGACGATGATTACACGATATTACGGGCTACTTTCGTATTACGAAAAATTTATCGGGATCTGACACGTTTTGCTGCTACTGCTGCTGCGAAGGCAGCAGAGTAAATACGTACACGATCGTATAGGAGGTGATATTTTTCTATCGTTTACGAAATTTGAAACGACTCGTCTACACAAAAATACGATTGGTCATTTGCATTTGTGAAAAATCAACAAACGCGCGTGTGTTCGTGCTTCCACGGCGTAGGCGAGCGATACGACGCATTTAGCAGCTTCATCAACACCCCCGCGTAGTTCAAAGATGATCGCAGTCTCTCTCTTAATCGATTTGCTCTGCGCCTATAATACGAAAAAGTCCTTCGCCCTAATTAAAAGATTAAGAGCTCAGCGTGTGTGCGGCGCGCTATATCGACGCGAAACGCCGCCTGAGATGCAAAACACACACGCATACACGTGTGTGTACATATAGATTATAAACTAGAGCTCGTGGCACACTCGCAGTGTAATTTTCTTGTATATGCGACGTAGCGCATAGTCGAGAGAGAGAGTCGAGAGAGCCGAAGATGCCTAGATATATAGAGCTGGCGGTGCCGGGGCTCGTATCGTAATAACCAACGCATTAATCTACCCCTCGCTGCATATATACATACATATAGGTATATATGAGGTGCGCAGCGCACGAGCTAAAAGCGGTTAACCAACTTTGATTCATCGACGATGTCGCACAGCACACACGTTGGTTGCCGCCGTTGCCGCGCGCACATTGCGTGTGTCGTTGACACCAATTAATATACAATACTCTCCGCGCTGTGCTGCGAGCTCTATATAGGTGCAAAAAGAAAAAAAGAGAATAAATAAAAAATGGCGAGGGTGCAAAAAAAAAAACAGAACAGCCGACGCGTTAAAAAAAATCGATAATTTGCACGCGCAGCACACCTACACCTATACACGCGTACACACGTTGTTCGAAATAAACGAAGCTGAGAAAAAAAAATGAAGCTCTAGCGCGCGAAATAGATTTTCGATTCGAGGAAAAAAAGCGAGGCTATCTTTTTTTTTTCAAACCATTCGATGTGCTGCTCGTCTTCGTTTGGAAGCGATGAAGAACGAAAAAATTGCGCGATAACTAGGAAATATTTGTATTCAAAATTGTATTTACGTCCGAATATCCAGCGAAAATTTTTCCTCGCGTCATGCAGGAGGACAGGCGAGCGCACGTGCGAGAGAGGCAGAGTGGAGTACAGAGAGAGAGAGAGAGAGAGAGAAGTATGAAAAAAAAGGAACAATTTCACTTGTCTTTTCTCGCTCGTAAGTATTGCCTTCCGGTGAGGCGAACGACAGAAAAAAAAAGAAGTGGTAGCGACAAAATCTGGGTCGCAAACAATGAGCTTAACAATGTCAAACGGCTAGTTTAAGTCACTATTCATGTATGTACGAGCGGCACACGAGCTGTGCACGCGTAATATTTCGAGACTTCAATTCGGAATTTTTTTCTCCCCTTCTATCTATCTTTTTTGTTTTTTTTTGTTACGTTGCATAAATAGAAAAATTAATTCCTGCGCGAGAGGCACTGTGCATCAGAAGCAATCAGTGTGTACACGAGTTTTTCGCATAATATCGAAAGTATGAGAAATCGATAAACGCTCCTTTAGGAGTTGGCGAGAGAAAGAAAGAGAGAGAGGACAGAAATATTATTTTGCATTATAATGATGCCAGCGTACTGATGATGCTGACCGATTTGAGTCAAAATTTTTAATTGATAATATATGTATCTCACGATAGAATAGACAAGCTTTATCTATAATTCGACGCAAAACTCTAGCGGGTTTCCTAAAGCGACGCACAGCGTTGGAACCGTCAAACTCTCCTCCATACGTGCACCGCGTAAAATTTCAATTTTTCCCAAAGAACGTTTTTTCCTCGTTACCGGTGCACGCGTAGATTACCACTCGCAGCGCCACCAATTCACAGTTGCGTGCAGCTTATAATACGCTATATATAACGGTGTCTACACACATCCGACCATTGGAAATTTATCGACCCGCCGCGCTCAGCTGGCGCGCGGCTCTACCTTACCCACGGCGCAACAAGTAGGAAAAACGCAATCAGCTGCTGCTGCTGCTCGGCGTTTCGAGATCACACGCAATTTTCGAAAGTAAACATTCGTGCTTTTCTATTTTGCTTTTTCAACCCATCGATGCTGTCTAACGAACGATCGTCGTTACGTTATTCGAGCTTGTTCTTCTGAATTTGCAACACCCGCGCTCGATACGACCAATCTCTGTGTTTGCTGCAAACTACACGAGGAGGGTAAGAAATAGCTATATACAATACGTATACAAGAGTAAAATAGACAGAGACGGAGGAAGAGCCGCGGGGGCTCGCGCGCGAGCGAGCGAGCAGCCCGTCAATATTATAAGCTGCTTTTCGACGCTTATGTAATAAACCTTGGTGGGATTTCTGTCGATAAATTACTCGAACTCGGCTCGAGCCGAGCGCGCTCGAGCAGAGGCGGCCGTATAATTAAAAACTATTACTCGCTCGAGCTTATACTTATGTGCTTTCGGTAGATATATATATATCCTATCTATCTCTATCTCTCGGGCGGAAAAATCCTTGCCCTCTCCTCGTGCATCAACATGTGTATGTATACATGCGAATACAAGCACACAACAATGCAATCGAGCGATATAAACGGACAGGATGCTGCATTAGGCTTAATAATGAAGGAGAGAGAGAGAGAGATGATGTTATCGGATTGGGGAGCGCGCCTAAATATAACTCCAATTTCGGGTGTAAGATTAACCGAGCACGGCCCACCGATATATACTGAGGCATTTTGCCAAATATCGAGATTAGGTTGGCCTCTACACTTGCGTAAACTGTACACTTTCTTTTTCTTTCTTTCTTTCTTTCTTTTTTTTTTTTTGTTCGAGCGGGTCGAGCACATGCACGTACAGTATAGTACAGAGTACGCAAGGTCATTCACAGAATCTCCAGAGACCCCCGCAAACTCGGGGTACGCGAGACAACAGCAGCAGCAGCAGCCACCAGCACTCGGTCGTACTGCTGCTTCTGCGTTATGATTGCGTGCGCCGAGCCGCATACATACAAGATCAACTAACTCTCCTCCTCGCATATATTATGTAAACGTGTATACATTTTTGATGAACGCAGCGCGTATAAAATCTAAGCCCCTCGAAAATTATTTAAACTCGTGTATTTAATATGTTGCGTGCATATGCATGTATGACTATTAAAAGGCACATTTCTAGCCGACGACGACTACCACTATCCCCCTGCAGCTTACGCGTGTATAGCGTACGTATACGTACGTACGTATATATACACAAGCCAGTGTACGCTTTCAACTTTGAGCTTTTGAGCGAGTCTCTCGCGACGTGTGCATCCGTGTGTTTGCACGTATATATACAGTGTGTCTGTGTGTGTGTGTACGTTTGGGTGTCCTGTTTCAAATGGTTGACCTGACACAGTTTGTAGTGTATGTGCCGCGTTATTATTCAACAAATATTCATCGCTTACGTCAGAATAACAAACCTCCTCCTCCTCTCTTACTCTATACAGAGTCAGCACGTTGAATGCACGACGGTGGGGAATTTTATTTTTTTTTTTTCCTTTCTGCAGAAAATCTCCGAAAGTTAACGGTACGGTATGTATTTATACGCAACCAACACATACGCAGCAACGACAGCAGCGACAACAACAACAACAAACTCGTGTGCATATAAGCACGCGTTCGTATTATATATATGTGTGTGATGTGTAGTCAACGAATCGATACATCATTTTGTATGAAAATACGATGATTATAGAAAGGCAGAAAATATAATTGCAGTTGTGTTGCCGCGCGCTTGCTGCTCGTCGCCGACGCTGCTCCACAAAATCGAGAATATCGTTTCGCAGCATAATGATTTTGTTATATATATATTTCGTATACACAATGTGTGTGAAAAAAAATGTATGCTCCTCGCTAACGGAGGACTACTGATAAAAAGTTTAACGACGAGATAGAACTAAAAGTGGACAAGTTAAAAAAACAAATGTTGCAGTAAAAATGAAAAAGGTGTATAATTGTAATCATTATTTTCGATACTTAACTCTTTTTCTTCAGGATTCGGGCGAGAATGGTTTCTGCAATAATTAACGTTGACAATAATTAGACTTCAGCAATTCTGATGCCAGATTGTTTTCTTTTTTTTTTTAGGTTACATAAAGGGAGACGGAATTATATAGCAGCAGCTGCTTTTGCGTTGCTCTATAGTGTCGACAGAACAGCAAGCAAAGTAGATATAGATAGAAAGTCTGTGTACAGTCTATATAATAAAATAAAGTAAGAGAAGAAGATAGAGAGAGTGAAGAAGACGTTGGCTGTTTCTAATCTTTCAACTAATTCTCATCAAGCAGATTTGCAAGAGGGTCTTTGCGAGAGAACAAAGAGAAAAGATTACGCATGACATAGTAGTGTTATAAAAGTAGTGATGGTAGTAGTGGTGGTGGTGGTAGTGGTGGGTAGTGATAGTATAGTTAAGGTTTCTAAATAGTGCAGAGTGAAAAAGCTCGATTATCTTAAATTTTTTTTTCCTTTTACTTTCTTACCCCGAGTGTATACTCTAAGATCGAAACAAATAAGTTCTCTCCAATGAGATCGCGATAAGCACGGAAGAGAGAGAGAAACTGTACAGTAAAGAAAGTAGAGGAGCTCGTAAACAAAATCAGATTACCTATCATCGAGCTCCGGCGGTGGTGGTGTGTTCCGCGTTCTCGCTATATATATCTATCCATGCCAATAAAAGAAAACGAGCGAATCCTCTTAAAAAACATCCTTCGAAAATTAATTCCCTCTCTCTTGCTCTTTCGCTTCTTTTTCTTTTTTATACTTACGAACGAGCGCGTATATCCTTGATATTGCTTACCGATAGATAACGCGCGATATATACGCGCCAGAAAGAGAGAGAGAATATAACGATCGAGACGTTAAAAAGAGGAAAATCGATGGTACGGCGCGACTCTCACGCTGCCGCGATCGACCCGCTTTTTTTTCTTTTCTCGAGGCAGCGCCGTTATACACCCGTTTGCTTAGCTCTCGCTCTCTCGCCGTTAATTATTCAAACGTGACACAAACACGTATACACACACGCGACCATCGTTTTCGAGCGCGCGGAGAGCAATGGCCCAGACTTTAGCGCGACGCGAGGCATTGTATTATTATAATGAACCAGCTCTAGAGAGAGAGAAAAAAAATTCAACTCTTGAAGAAGTAGAAAAAAAAATACGGAAGAAAAGTGGCCTCCCCCCCTCGTTGTTCTCTTTTGATTTCGCATTCGCATTCTTTCTTTCTCTAGTCGTTACTCGTCGTGCCAGCAACACGGCTCTCAGCGCGCGTCATTGGGAACGGTATTAATGAGGCCTCGGGCATCTTTCTCTCTCTCCGTGTACAGCGTTGTATACATGTACGTTTCGTAATAGTTTTCGCATGTGTAAATGCAAGCTGCGAACGCCCGAGTGTAATTTTGCACAGAGAGAGAGAGAGAGAGAGAGAGAGAGAGAGAGAGAGAGACCCCATAAAGTAAAAATTGTTCGCCCACTTCGCCGCTCGAGGCCCTCGGTGAGAGAAAAGTCGATAGTGTACAAGCTGTGCATGATAAAATTCGCTCGTTAATTTCTGCGCACCCGAGCCGAATTTTGCTCTCTCTCTCTCTCCCCGAACTTCTTCGCAGAAACGGTACGCTTGCTTTTTCGTTACAGCGAATATTTCGCGCGACGCATATAAAATACGAGGAAGCAATAATACAGCGTGTGCCGGAGCTAGGAGTGAATTTTGCGAGCTTACATATTTCAAAAACAATGTGTTGAACTGCAATTACCGCGTCTCTCTCGTCTCGGAACAAAGCGTGTATTAGTGGGATTGGAATATTGCACACAGGCAGCGAGAAATGCAGAAATTGGAATGCTATAAAGTAATTGCCGCATTACGTAAGTACAATGGCGAGGCACCAGCAGCAGCAGCAGCGGCGGTGGCAGTATATAGCGTTAAAGAAAAGGAGAGAGGGGAACGTACAATGTATAGAAATCAACTTAGCTTCGCGATCGGGGCGCGCGCTTCGTTGTTCGCGTAATTTTACGCGGTAGTCGAGCGCGCGATTTTCGTGACACAGTATACTATATATCGATCGGCGCATTGTTCAAATAAGTACTTTCCAATAACGATAACGAGTATTATAACATTGTGTGTGTCTGTGTATCGACTCGAGTGCGTCGTGTCTGATATTAATCCACGTCGAGCTGTCTTTCCGGAATATAATAATGTAAAATTGGCCCGAATCCACGATTTTCTTTTTTTTTTTTTTTTGTTCTTGTAAAAATTCATTATTTTTTTTTCATCCCTTCGTTATTCATTTGTTTAATGTGCCGATAATTATCCGATGTATCGACGACGAAAAAAAAAGAAAAAAAAACGTAATACGGTGCTGCCACAGTATTTTCGATATACTATTCGATTTTTAGAATTCAATATTATACGCGTACAATGCGACGAATGGAAAATTTTTCTTCTCGCATCGAAGGGTCTATCGTAAAATTGAAATTGAAAAAAAAAGAAGGAAATATCGATACTACGTCTGACCATAGAGCGGGTTATTCCACTTGCGTTACACGTTGTTCGCGTGCCTCGTCACACGTTCGATATTACGCAATATTATATATATCTCTTTTTCTCTATCTCGTCGAACTTCGGCTCTCGAGCTTCTTTTTTTTTTCATCTTCTCCCTTTTATTCCTCTCTTTTATCTCTCCTCTGTACACTTTTTCTTCTAATTCGAAATTTAATCTCGTTCAAATTCGAATTACAAAGCATCCAATTCACGTTCTCTCTGAAACGTTAACCAGCGTAGAGAGCTATGTGTGCGTGCGCGCGCGCGGATATAACGTACTATAAAGGTCGGCGAAGAATAACCTCTCTTCGCTTTCGCACCCCTCCGGACTCGCCTATGATAATGTAATTTTCCCGCTCGCGCGCGCGTTTCTCTTCCCCGAGACATAATTCCAGTCGAAAGAATGTATTTTATTTCTCTCTGGTGTGCAGGCGCGTCGGGTCGAAGCATGAATGCACCACCGCCATCCTCCTTTCATTCTCGCTCTTTCGCTCGTGTGCCGCAGCAGCACTAGCATCCACGTGGACCATTAAAACACATTTTATCGCTGAGGTAGAGAGAATTTTTATACACGACGAGGAGGAAAAAAAATAGCGGTTACGCCGCCGCCTTGATTTCCATGTACAAGTGGATGTAATATACCGCTGCATTATAAGAAGTGAACAAAAAGAAGAAGTGATACTTTTTTTTTCATTGTTGGTTGCATATTGTATAGTAGTAAGCTAGTCGAGTGCGTATAGTTGAGTGCTGTAGAACAATTCATCTAGTCTAATTCATTATTTGTATATTATAATATGGTGCAGAGGGGGGTTGTATAGTGATCGCAGAAAATGGTGATCGGATAATTTTCATCGCATTAAATATCTATCGTGGGTGAAGAGTATATAAAGCTTGCGATTCTTTGGCTGCGATTTGGGAGGTGCCGCCTACGGTTATATAAATATCTATGTTGCCAATGAGGCATGCATTATTAGCTTATTTCATGATTATAATCTTTTAAGCTAGATAAGCGGCATGCTTGTTTCAGCCTGCGGATATATTTTATTATCATTATCATATTATTGTTGTTATTTTTTATGTTTTACTTCCAAGCAAATTGGATTGTCGTTTCAATTTCATAGAAAAACTTGATTAAGATAAGAGAGAAGAAATTCGTGTTTGAAATTTCTTACAAAAAATTTAAAATTCATGCATTTTAATGTATGCGTTTATCATTTTCGTTTAAAGACTTTTTATTCTAGCAAATCGACGTAATGACTTAGCAATTTTCAGGGAACACAAGAAAAGCGAACTTTTTCCTTTTTTCTTTAAGTTGATATTTCAGACATTATTGGAAAAGTTCGCTGATTTAATGTCAATCAATGCTTTCATTACGATGATTCGATTGTCATATGTTTTAATAAAAATCATTAAGATTTCAGTTTTTATTTTCAAAAAAAATTTTAACCATAAAAGGTAAAAGTTTTACCCATAATTAGAGAATTATTCGAAGTAATTATAAAGATGAAAAAATTCTTTCAGAGAAAAGGTAAAGAAGCAGGTGATAAAAAGGGGGTAAGTTGTGTTTAAAGCTAATTTTGTTGCAAAAAAGCACGAATCGCCTTGTAAAGTGATTATAATGCTCATAATATATAATAGTAGAATATAGCTGCTCGTAAAAATATATAAGAGAGTAGAAAATCGTGCATAATGCAATTGTGAGAGAATTCAGCTGCAGCTCTAAAAAAGGGGGGAGAAAGTTTTAATCACTTAGGAATGTACCTTTTCTCTTCGATAGCCGGTGTAACTGGTCTGAAACCCATAAAAAAGTCATCATGTATAATCAAAAAAACGAAGAGAGACCAAAGAGCGCGACAAGCGCCGCGCTCTTCTACTAATTTTTTTTTTTATTTTATTCTGCTGCAGTTGCGATATTATTATAGCTTTGTGATATTTTTCTCAGTGCTCTCTAGAAAATTTAATAGGAAGAAAAAACAGAAATAATAACATTATTTTTTATATTTATAAAAGCTTGAAATAAAAGAAGAGATATAAGAAAAAAGAAAAGGAAAGAATAAGGAGGGAGAGAAAACGTAATATAGACGACGCGCGCGAGTATTTCGGCGTCGTATACAGCTCGGTGTACTCTCTGGTAGTAGTACTCGAGTCGGAGCTATAAGAATCGTCGTCACCGTATCACATACACGTACACACACACGCGCGCGCGATAGCATAAGAGATGTAATCGAGGACATGCACACATACACGTAAACGTTAGAGTGCGAGCTCGAAATTGTCATCGAAGATCTTTTTCTTTTTCTCATATACACATTGGCCTTCCCAAGCCTTGCCTCTCTCTTCTTTACTCCCGTCTTTTTCTTCTGTTTTTTCTTGCCCCCTCGAAGCAACTGAACTTCATCGCCCATGTTTTCAAACTCATCGCGTCGAGTCTCCGGCAGCACACCTACTCATTTTTTTCTTGCTTCATTTTTATTATCACTCGATTCGAGTTTTAGCACTCTTGTTACTTTTCTTTTACTTCGCTTTCTTTATCTCTCTCTCTATTTTGCTTTTTTATTTCTCGAACGATACGTCGTGATAAATTCGCGTCCGCCAGCGCACGCGTTTTCTTTCCCGTTATTCGGATTATTTAAAGCGCGCGAAAATTTCGCGGAATTTTTAGAAAAACGAAGCGCAATTATACGAGTTCTAGCTTGCTAGCTCGCAAAAGTGCAGCGAAATTCTCGCGCATAATCAACGTGCTCTTTTTGATCGCGAATAATTGCAGTCGTATACACATTGTGAACGGGGTATGGAATTTTCCTTGGCAAATAGCTTGACCTCTAACTCGCGCGCGCGTGTGGTCTGGAATATCATCATCATCATCATCGCGATGATCATCGTCATCACCTTGCGCTCATTTCGAAATTTTTCGAATAACTCCGAGAACACGTGGACGATCCAAAACAACAACAAAGAAAAATAAAAAATTTATATAATAAATACATCAATCGAGATTAGCGCGTTCAAAGTTTGTAGCGTGAAAATGACTCGGTATTTTTTTTTCTCCCTCTCGGTCTTCCGAGCTGCTTTTGCATATTAACACGTAAGCCTGTGCGAGCGCGTCATCTTCGTCTTTTAAATTTTTCAAGCTGCATTAATCCATCGGGGCGTGTGTTTCCTCCCAACGCCGCTGCTGTGCCGCGTGCGCGTGCATTTAATATGCGAGTTAAACCTACATTTCCTCGGGGTTAAGAGGCTCAGAGAGAGAGAGAGAAAGCAGGAGCCAGTCTCGTGTCGATCAAAGCTCAACACAGCACACATATACACACACGCGCGTATACCGAAGCTAAATAGCGCAAGCTCGACCGCAAGTACATACATATACGCTTGTGTATAGGAAAGGAGAGAGAGAGAAAAAAAACGGTAACAGTAAAAAGGAAAAACTAGCGCACGCGTCGAGCATAGGAAAGTAGCAGTGGCAGCAGCGACGCGTGTATACAAATGCGACACATAAGGCAAAAGATTCTATCCATTACTCCTGGCGAACGTTTTTTTTTTAAATCTCTGAATTATTTAAGTATATGCGCCCGCCGCACTGAGACGACCGCTTTTCCCTCTCTCTCTCTAGATACTTTTTACTTCCCCCTCATTTTTATTTTACGGATCATCCGCGTTCATATTTCGTCGATCGGAAATGAAATGGAATTTCATTGTAAGCGGTATGCAAACTCGCCGCGTTACATAGATATACTGCTCGTGAGAGAGACGTGCCCAATACAAAAAAAAGAAAAAAAAATTGCGCGTTGTTGTTTAAAAAAAGGCTTCGACAACCTTCGCCTGCGAGCGCGCAAGCAGTGACAATAATAAAAGCCATTTATGAAAAATTCAGCCGGCTACATTGTTACTGCGTCTCGCGTAATATGCAAAAGCCGTGTTATATGTATATATATTTTTTTTTATTCCATTAAACAAAGAGAAGGACGGATTTCGCACAAAGCTTCATTTGTTCCAATTCCTTGTAAATATAGTAGGTAACGTACACACACACACACACACACAAAATAAATCCGCACGCACGTTATAGGCCTCGATTTAAATGTATACATATAAATATTCATATTCTCCATTCGCCAGGCACTTTTCAAAGCGTATAAAAACACAAAAAAGGGACGGAGAGTGAAAAAATTCGCGAGAAAAAAATCCCCCGCATTTTACATAGATAATAACGAGCACGCGCGTGTGGCCTAGCCCTCTCTCTCTCTTTGTCGGGAGGGCAGTTTTAGCATTTGGGAAACAATAAAACACGGACGCGCGTGCATATATACGAGGTGAAAAGATGCTCGGTACGCTCCGCGCTGGCAGATGCAGTTATACGCTCGTAAAACAAAGCGACGCGCGGTGCGAATCGCGCGCGCGCGCGGCGTTGATGGAATACACACTCACACACACACACGCAGACGCTTTTGCAGCTCGAGGACGACGCACATTGACTCTGTAGGCACTTTATACAGTGTGCTGCACTGTTCCGTCGCCCGTATGATGTTTTCCAATTTCCATATTTTGTGTGCCACCGCCGTCGCCACCGCAGCAGCGGCAGTGTGGCAGCTGCCGTCGTCGTCGACACCGCAGCACAAAACGCGACGCGTAATTCACCGTTTTTTTTTTCTTTTTTAGCCAAACTCCACACGTCGTACTTCGATGAATCATATACTTAGCACTGCAACGACTCAATGCAAAATCACACGCCCGCATATTCACGCAACTACTGCTTATACACATTCGCGCGTATTAATATGTGTACACACGACTCGCGTCCACGCGTAGATACAGCTTTATATTATCGATATTTGAGCGTGAAATTACGTCGCGCGCCGCTATATATACAACGCGGGGGTGCACCTATGCAGGCGGATGCGTATTATCATTCCCGATGCGAAGCGGCGGCAGGACAGCAGCAGCGGCAGCTCAAGCGTACACGGCATTCGTCTCGCTACTCTTCGCGCATACCTAAAAGGGCGCTGTCTGCCATACATTTGACGTATATACATTCGAAACTTCGATGTTCGCGTCGCACGCACGCACGCACGCGTCATGATGCTCGCGCCGAATATATAACGCATTATAATACATTATGGCTGCGGAGACAAAAGTCGACGCGACGAGGGGATGGGTACGTTTGAATCGCGACGGTAATGGTGGATTATACATACCCGCGCTTAATACGCTCGATATAATATTTGCCCGCCAAGTATACTACTACCGCGCGTCGAATGGGGAATTATATACGTATATAATGCAAAGTTTTCGCGCGCCCGCCGTGGAATTGACGCGTGATTATCTTACGCAACTCGCGCGTCGCACGATTTGGCTTCTAATATTTCACACCGTCGATCGCGCGCGTCTGTATAATTATTCGCCCGCCGCCTCGACTGACACGCAGTACACGTAGACATTGACGACGACGACGACGACGACGAAAAAAGTGTCATCCCGCACAAACTAGGTCTCGGTGTATCGATTAATTTAGATTTATATACTTTATCCCTCGCTCTCTCTCTATACCCGACGCTTATAATATGTATGATTTACTGTTGATTTATAAATATGAATCCTCGAGTCAGTCGCGATATGTGCTGCACACACACATACGCTCGCAACTCGCGAATGTATATACATGTTGTGTAATTCGTCGTGGCCTGGTGTACACAACGTACAGCGAGCAATAAATCAATATCGACAAGCTACGACACGTCAATTAATTTTGCACTTTTGCTCGCTCGCGCGCGGCCAACGTGTTTTAATATATACACAAATATAACAGACGTCCGCGTAATTCGTGATGCGTGCGATGATGCAATCGTTCGTTTCTCTACACGACCGTTGTATTGTGTTACATCCGCGGTACGACGGACGAATTTTTTTTTTTTTTTTTTTTACGCGAACCACACGTTATTATAGTTATGCGAGTGGATAATGGCCGTTAATGCTTAATGGTACGGACCCGTTAGACACCATCCATTGTTTATATAATATCTAAACGAGCAGTAGTGATCCCTCCGCGCGATGAACCGGTAATCCTTTAATAATACAAACACCAAATCTAAGATAACGTCATCAACGCGATTCGCTGTTTCTATTATTTATACGATTTTACTTCTGTCCGTTCGTTCGATGTGAAAAAAAAGAAAAATAAGAAATATACGTCACCACGAGTGCTTCATCAAAATCCGCAATATATAAAGAGGATCAAATATTTACGCGCGTCCACGGGGTGGGCTAAGGTGGCAAATATTTGTTCTATATACACACGCACGCACGTTATATACGGTTATAATATTCGAGCAAGATAAATATTTCGAGCGAAAGGCAATATTTTGACTAAAAGCTACTGCTTCTGCCGCTGCTGTCCCCGTCTTGTCCTCCCTCTTTCACAAAACCTCGTGTTTAATGTCTTTTACCTTTCGCCATCATGAACTCTATCGCGCGACGGAATATGCAGCATACACACACACGATATACATAGATACAATCCCACATTGGCACATTGGCGCACAAGGTCTCGTGTGCGAATCGTACGAGTCATCGCGACGTCGTCGTCGTCGAGTTTATATACTGCACATAATCTCCCTCCACCCACCCACACCCCGTCGTTCTCTTCGACTCTTCGATTTCTCGCGGCTATAAGGGTAAACTCGTCTTATACTGTCTATAATAAAGCTCGATATCTCGCGGATAATAAAACCACGTGTGTATAGAGCACAACCAGCCGCGTACATCGTATAGTACACGATCAGTGACAGCGAGTTTTG